CGTTGGGGGAGGAAGTTGCTAGTGTAGAGTACGGGCGAACACACAATCTCCATGGCAACGGTTTGATCTTTCTCTCTGTGGCTGTTGGGCCACATGGTGACAGGTTGTGCTGGTGGCCAGTGTGGGGAGGTGAGCTGTGGGGGGAGGGGGGTGGGGAGGGAGGTCTCTTCGATCAGAGACAGAGGCCTGTGTCTCCTATTTCTGGTCTCTTTCGACCCCCCTCCCCACCTCCCCTCTCTCTCTCTTTCTTTCACTCTCTCTCCCTCCATTAAACTCTGCCATCTACAGACCCGAAGAGCCGCTTTGATTGGATTAGCCATGAATTAATGTGACAGGCTTGAAGAACAGCCTCTGTTGTGTAAATCTCTTATCATATCTTAATTTGCTGTTTATGTGAGCGTGTGTGCCTCTGTGATCTCATAGTTTAAAAAAATAAATAAAATGAAATCCAAATGACACTGCCAATTTTTGCATTTTAAAAAACAACAACCTCTAAAATCAGTGAGCAAATACTGAAGCTTCATCAAAGACGTGTTGCACGTCCTTGTACATTTAAAGGTTTGACAAAGAAACTCCTATGGAAAGGGATGTCTCTTCATTTAGTTTAATCTTAGTCTTATCTTGAGTTAGAAAAAGGACAGCTCTGGATTTACTAACTCCTCGCCCCAAGAAACTTTAGAGAGACGTAACTGCTTTTGAAGTGTTTTTTTGGGTGGCATGATGCAGCAACCTTTAAGAATAGACTGTTGTCTCCCTGATGACTTAAACATTCCTCCTCATTTTGAGCACCAAGTAGTTACAAAAACAGAACACTTCATCTTCCTCTTCTATTAAGTTTAAAGCAGCCAGCCTCTGTTGTGCAGCATAAAATCTGTATAATTTTATATAACTGAAACAACTATGTCCATGTCCCTTGTTGTCTGAAATGAATAGCTTACATAGTATTTATTATTGTAAGTTTCTACTTAGTGAGAGATAGAGGGATCAGGTGGGGGGATGGCATTGTTTGGTTTGGGAAGTATTCTGTTGGTTGCATAGCAACAGGCTCCTGGAAACGGGAGTGGACGGTGTTGCCACTAGCAACCGTTGTTGCTCTGCAAACAATGTGGGCCAGTGCAAACACGAGCCAAGACTGTGGGCTCCTGCTTTTAATTGAACATCTGTATGTGTTTTTCTCTGATTGAGCAGTGTTTAAGTTAGATGTCATTGACATATGTTTAAATCGTCTCTGCACTGTTACCAAGAAGGCCATAGCATTAAGGAGGTTTCATGAGGCTATGGGGCTCTTCTTTTTCTTCTTTTTACTGGTTTGCTTTTAAAAGTCAGGTAACAGGAAAAGGAGTGGCTGTTGTTGCAATGTTGTTAAGTGCTCATCTGGGATATTCATATGAATGAGACCAGGCTCACAGACCAGACACACAACAGACTGTGTGTGTGTGTGTGTGTGTGTGTGTGTGTGTGTGTGTGTGTGTGTGTGTGTGTGTGTGTGTGTGTGTGTGTGTGTGTGTGTGTGTGTGTGTGTGTGAAGTTGTCTCTTGGTTGAAGGCAGCTCATCCGGAGCAGCGATTTTGCAGCCGTGTGTCTCCTGCTGTGTTCTACCTTTGTGCTTTTCACAGCTGCTGGTGGGGTACTTGTGTGGCTTTTGACCTTCTTTCAGCAGTCAGCAGAAAGACTCCTCTCTGCCTGCACTCTTATTACTCCCCCTCTAAGTCAATGATTTGGCCCAATGTCGCCATACCTTTTAATTAATATTATTAATGGTCACCCTAGTGCCTTAATTGAGCATTAATGCCATGAGAACCTGCAGGTCAGTGCTCTCTTATCTGATCCGCCACCATCTCGCCGTTGGCGCAGAGGATCCCTCAGGCTCGGGTCACTTCCGCCGGAGGAAAGAAAAACTCTGAAGATAAATGACGTGATTAAGTGTATTTATAACCAAGTGACACTCCATAGACACATTCCCCCTTTTTATAAAGATGTTTAGCATTGTAGTGACTTTTAAAGTGTTTACCACGTGTACTTGCGTCCTTCTAACAATAGTCTTTTGATACCGTAATGAACAATTTTAATGGAATGGGAGAGCTTTGACATCTCTGTGCTAATTTTGCGCTGTGCTAACAAATACATTGAAGATTAACTCAGAGGGCGGATTAGGGTACACCGGGTATGGTGCTCAGACCATGTGCATGTCTGAAGATTGACACGTATCAGGAATTTCGACACAGGCCTCCTCCACTCGGCCTATTAGTCATGAATGCAGAGAAAGATCCCTGCCTGTGGCAAAATCTCCACGCATGGAAAATGTGGTGACACACCCAAATCTGTTCTGTCTAAAAGGCATACTCTTTGACTCGTATGTAGCAAGCATCAGTGCCCCTAATTGTTGATTTCAAGTTCCCACTTATGGGTAAAGGCGGCGTTTGCTGTGCGAAGTTCTGGTCTGTTGGTGTGGTTAGTTATGTTAATGTTACTGTTAATAATCATGTAGAATGTTTCATTTACAACCATTCTGTATTTATTTTTATTTTGATCACTTACCATAGAGAGCTGTAATTGGCGGACTGATGCTATATTTGACATTTCAGTCAGTGTGAGTACCAGACCTTCTCCTCCTGTGAGTCAACATTTACAGTGCTGGATAATATCCTGAGCCATGTCAGATGTGATCAGGTTTGATTCGGGTTAGCTCTACCTTTGACATTCTCTTTTAATTCTCTGTTAATCCTCTATCGGCGTAGTTTTAAACTCTAAAAATGTTTCACAAAAGAGTATGTAACTCTAATTTTGGTGTGACTTCAACATTTTCTTGGTGGAATTTATTTCCTCTTCCTGTTCACCACCAGTTGGTTTTCTTGATACAGATACGTGTTGCCCTTTTTAGTTCTTCTCTTATCTGTAAGATATGTTTCTATAAATGTTATTTATTAATACACTACTTACTGCTATTGGTACTTTTCATTTAAATTTTGGTTGGTTGGATCTCAAGAAATCCAATAGTCAGGTTTGGCTGCACCTGTTGCTTGTATCTAACAGCTCAGCCCTCCAGATGACTGCCACCTAAGGGGTGTTCATCTAATCTCTTTCAGCTAAAATGATCGTGCAAGCCTTGTGTTTTGACTAATCACAGCATGTCTGGAGCAGGTTGCGTCTTGCAGTCTTTTTCCGTAATGCTCCAGGTAAACACCCTTCTCTTGTTCTCACCCACTGACGCTTCCTCTTGCTCCCGGATTTCTGCTCATCAATTCAACCCGCCCCCAACTGTGCCGTGTCTCCCTCTCCCTTATTCTTATCCTCCTCCCCCTCTTCTCTTTGCAGACGCACTCGAAAGTTCCTGTGCTAGTGCTTTATAAGGGGGGATAGAGGACTGAATGGGGAGGGAGAGGGGGAGGGTTGAGTTGGGGGTGGTCGTCATGGATTCCTCACCATAGCAACCGACAAACGTTTACAAAGCATTGAGGAATTTCCTCATATCAGCTGGATTATTGGAGCCCTCAGAGAACAGCTCTCATACAAAACAATCGCTGGATATCATCAGGACCCCGTCAGGGGCCGGAGCCCCACTGCCATTTTCATCATTTTCCCCCTTAGTTTTCTTTTTTTTTTTTTAGGGAGTGGGGAAGTTTTTTTTAACTACTTACTCCCCCTCGCAGTTCCATTCTTCTCTTGTCCCTCCCTTATTCCCGCTCTTTCCCTCTCTTAGCTCTTTTAAGAGAGCCTTTGTGTCACTCCATTTTTAGTTCCCCTTCTCTGTGCTGTGCACACGGTCAACCGGGGCAAAGCAGGGTGGCGACAGTACGTTTGGTCCTCGGGAAGCAGTTCAGTCATGTTGATGATTCCAACTCCTGTACTGTCTGATCCGTTATGGCGTTATATTTGTGCCACAATCCTGAGCGCGTAATTTTAAGTTTTGAGCACAGAGAACTATATTTTAGCAAAGAAAAACATCCCGTGCGCGCAGTTTACTGAGGTGCCCTCGCCACAAACTGGTTTTCTGCGCGCAGGCAGCCGTTGCTGCGCTCTCTCCACCTCTTCACGCTGCGCTCGCTCGACGGTTCACTCACGCGCTCGCTCGACTTGCAGCAGCGTTACATTTGTGCCACAAAACCAACCAATCAGAGAATTAAAGAAGGTCCATTGCGATTGGCTGTTGGTCTCCAATCACAACGCTTCCTAAAGAAGACGAAAACGAGTGATATTAGAAGTCCGGCTAGCCACCATCAGACATGACCGAAGCAAATGATGAGAACACCAAGTGTTTTAATCCAGGCCGTTAGCATTTAGCACAAATGCTGCAAACTTCAACAACTCGCTGAGCTTCCGCGATGCTGTAGGTAGTTCTACTAGCGTTGTGATTGGAGACCAACAGCCAATCACAATGGACCTTCTTTAATTCTCTGATTGGTTGGTTTTGTGGCACAAATGTAACGCTGCTGCAAGTCGAGCGAGCGCGTGAGTGAACCGTCAAGCGAGCGCGTGAGTGAAGAGGTGGAGAGAGCGCATCAACGGCTGCCTGCGCGCAGAAAACCAGTTTGTGGCGAGGGCACCTCAGTAAACTGCGCGCACGGAATGTTTTTCTTTGCTAAAATATAGTTCTCTGTGCTCAAAACTTAAAATTACGCGCTCAGGATTGTGGCACAAATATAACGCCATAATCCGTCAGCACGACCACTAGTGTCTGCGTAAAAACTGTCGGGCTGCTTATTTGCCCAGTGATTTCAGTCCAAAGGTGGGCAGTATCCTGGGCTCTGAGAGCTTCACTGATTCAGCTTGACTTGGAAAAGACAGAATTCCCCCCCGGGCACACGGAAGGCCCCGGTGGCTCCAAAGAGAGAAAGGGTAGGGTGGGGTAGAACGGCATTCATTTAGCATGGCTGTCCATGTGAATAATCTTGTAATCTTGTAATGCTTGTATTCTTTTATTTCCAGCTTCAGTATACCTGTTATTAAATCTCCCCATTTTCATCTCTTTTGCATTTCTTCATGTCTCCACTGCGACGCAGCATGCAGAGCTCAGAAGGAGGCTCAGACACCACGACCAGCGTGGCAGCGCTGCGGACATCATCATCAGCTCAGGCCCCTGTGGTGCAGCCTGTGCCGGCCTCCCAACAGGTAGGTGTGATGCCAGGACGGATGGGGAAGTCTGCAATGTTCGTAAACATGAAAAACCATAAAGATCTACAACATCTATTCTTACTACTAGTACTAGCACTCACTTGACAACCACCCTCACGTTAACGGCTCCATCCTGTTTCATTACCTATAATGTTAATTCTAAAAGATGAGTTATTTTGGAAACCAAAGCAGCTACTTTTTTATATTTGTGCTCATGCATGGTGTTTAAAACAATACACAGCAACAGAGGAGCGCACTTTGCTAGCTGCAAACCGCCGCGGCTGTGGGGGAAATTGTTTGCCCCGTCCTGTGTCATATGTTTACAATGAAGCGTGTATGTGTGTGATTGTACGTGCATGCCTGTGTAATTGAGTTATGTCTTGTATCCACACAGAGGGTGCTGGTTCAAGCTACAGGCTCAGCTCAGAAGGGAGGACAAGTACAGCAACTTTCAGTACCCAGGGTTCAACAGCAGGTACACAGTGCTGTACATACTTAGACAGTACTGTGAACATCCTTGTACACCCCTTGACGTTTTTACAATTTTGTCCTTTGTGACGGAGCTGGAGACCTATACTGTGTTTTCCAAGAAAGTAACACAAATACTAAGTAAGCAAGTAATCATTTAGCTGGAGACACTGGGGCTTAATTGTGCCACTATGTGATTGATGACTTTCTCATTCAAGTCAGAATTTACATTCAGGTTAAATAATAACAGACGGCGGCTTTGTAGCTTTGTCCTTAGTAAGTAAACAAGTTAAACAGTAACCGAACCATGTTTGTTTAATGAAGATCCTAAACGTTGCAGCACATTCACTGCCCGGAAGGTCCTCGTCCCGAGCCAGTGCCAAACTGTTTCTCCTGCTTCCTGTGCCCCTCACGGGTGTACGAACGCGTCTTTCTCTGGCTGAGCCTGACCCACTGCCTGCGTACATGAATAACATAGAAAATAACATCTTAATAAATATTTCTGTAGGTTTTAACGTAGACTTACCCCCAATGGATGTTGATTGTTCTGGGCATATAAAGTGCATATAATGGCAACGGTTGGTGATTTCTGGGGGCTTGAACCATATCCTTTCATGATTGTATGTGTTGCATCTATTCCAATGGTGAAAACCAGCAGCTGACTGACTGTCTGGTCACTATTCTTATGTATATAATTTGTTATAAATGTTTTTGTGTTTGTCAAATCAATCCTGTATTCATGAATCATGTTTTAGTCAGTTCAAATTCAAATTAATTCAATTAGGATTTTGCGAACCTTTTTAAATAAAAGGGAAACGGTGCATTATAATCAAGTATATTTTATACAACATTGTTCCAAATCAGGTCCCTTTTTAAAATACAGTACTGACGTTGCTCCCCATGTATAGCAGAACCTTGGTAGCTTATAATTTAGAAAGCAGTGTATAGTTTTGGACATGTAATTGTACAAAAAACAAGGGGTGTACAGAGTTCATGCACTTCATGTGCACGCTGTAATAGGTTTGCACATGCCCACACTCACAAACAAATGTTTTCATTTCACGCAGTATTTTTATGATTAAAAAGAGCCTGTTACGCTTATAGTTACACTTTGACTTGCACGTGTATAAATAGGGAAACATAAAGATTTTCCTTTCCCTGCTTTGATTTGCTGTTGTCTCTCCGTAGGTGCAGCAGGTGCAACATGTGTATCCATCCCAGGTCCAATATGTCGGAGAAGGCGCAGACGCTGTTTACACCAATGGGACTATGTAAGCAATGTTGCATGACTTCATAAGAACAATTCATAATTGCTTAAAAGAATACATCTTTTTCAATGTGTAGTTCAGTTCAATTCAACTCAGCGATGTACATTTTTCCTTTGAAATATAGATTTTTGGTAATGAAATGTCATTTTTTGCTACTGTTGCTACTAAGTGCTCCCAACAGTTTTGCTTTTCAAATTTAGCTCCACTCAAAATTAAGAATTTATCGATGTTATCTGCTGGATCGAAAGCAAATGGACATTTTTTTCATTTTAAATGAATAATAATACGATTATAAAGGCTCTTAATCAGCCTCCCAAATCATTTTTTATGAAATTGGTTTAGCACCATCGTGGGAATACGACCACATTCCTAATTACAACAATCTCTCTCCAGCCGAACCGCCTACTCCTACAACCCTGAGGCTCAGTTGTATGGGCAGAGCAGTGGAGGGACGTACTTTGACTCACAGGCTGGTGTGACCACGGTTGTCTCCTCTGCGGGGGGTGGGGTGCCCTCTCATGGCATGGTGGGCATCGCTATGGACGTGGGCAGCAGCCACATAATCTCCGGCGGAAGCACCTACCTGATTCATGGAGGAAGTATGGAGGGAAGCCGCAACCACATATCACACGCATCACGCTCCTCCTCCGCTATGGTGAGTAACACCTATACCAATGTTTGTGATACTCGGAAGCACTCAGAGGGATTTATAGGCTAGTAAAGATAACAATCAAACTTAAAATCAGAGCTTCACAACCAACAAACTCCAGTGTCGGATCTCATTCCTCAGCTGCTATGTGGTCAAATTCGATTTTCTAAAGTACCTAAAGAAGTTATTACTTCTCTTAGTACAACTTGGCTTACTGAGCAGACCCTCCCAACTACCATGCGGTGTCGTCAGATGTGCGCTCGGCCTAACAGTCATCACTGCTTGCCCGAGCCTCATGTCCCGACTGGCCGGGCTCCCCGACCATCCTGAAAGACACAGAGAGACGCACACGGTTTAAGGCAACCTGAGTTGGGGCCTCACGGCTCTGCAGCACCACGTTGAGAGAGCGGCGCAGTTCGGCGCAGAAGGCCTGTAGAATCGGGACACTGGCTTAAATAATTCAGCGATGCCTTGTTTCAGAGGTTTTCACAGCCACTTGAGCGCCCTGCGAAACAAAGCCACCCCTGGGCTCATTACCATTTTGGCCATGAGCCCTCTGGAGCCTTCTTAAGGTTTGGAACGCTGCCTGCTTCTTTTCCTTTTCTTCTATGTCTCGAGTTTGGCTGCAGTACCACATATCTTTTCTTTTTTGACTTTTTCTTCTGCAGCTCAACAGAATGGCCGTTGGTTTGTCATTCATTTGCTCCACAGGTTGGAGTTTTTTTTGTCTAATGACAGGATAAAATGACAGTGGGTTTTATACCACGGCACTCCTGTGTTGTAGGTACAACTCCCTCTCTGATTTTCAGTTTGAGTACTTTTTTGACGGGCACAGAGTGGAGGGGCAGTAAAATTAAGCGTTGACTTGGTGTCCTCACACTTGATTTGACCTTTGCCCCTGGTTTCTATTAGCATACATTAGAGTGCTGGACCGCAAACCAGCTTAACCCAATGAGTCCATTGATTTGCATGCTTTTGTCAGGCAATAACGGGTTTGGCTACAACACCGACTGATTTTAATGGAAATGCAGAGATCTGGCTGCTCGCTAACAGTCTTATTTCCTTTTATCTGTTTTAATTTTTGGGGTGTTTTTTTCTTCATATATCCCTGCTTATTTCTGTTCCCATCTCCTTTTCTACCTCTCACTCTCCTGTCTCTTTCCTCTTCTGTTTTTATTTTTTTATTTTTTGCATGCTTCTTCTTTCTTTAGCTTGAAATGGCGATTGAAAACCTCCACAAGTCTGAAGGAATTGCAAGTCACAAAAGCAGCCTGCTCAACAGCCATGTAAGTCAACCAGGAGCATTCTTCTAAAACCACATACAGGAAAATAAAGACAAAACAAAAGCGGACCCTAAAGGGAGTGTGTTCTACTTGTTCCCTGCAATGTCGAACACACATCCTTCTGCTCAGTTTACTTGGCACTGTCCCAGTGACATGCAGAATTCTTCCAAATAGTTTTTGTCCTTGGTTTGAACTTGACTATGCTATCTTTTTTTACTTAATAGTGCCCACTTGTATTTCTTAATACCCAGCATGGACTTCAATTGTTTAATTTTTCCCCCCCATATGTTTTATATTTAGGCATGCACTGTGTTTCATTAAAGTTTATTGCAACCCAAATTATTGATGTTATATATATCAACAATTTTGGTTGGAATCTTCTTAGATTACATCTAAAAAGATTCATGTCAGTCCATCCAGAAGAAATTAGTGGTAACGGGCGGCTCCCTACCAACTCACAACCTCAGCTGGGATCTGACGATATCTGCATCATTTGTATGTCTAGTGTCTGAAGTATCTGTTTTGCAGCTGATTTGTAAACGTATAATTTGAGTTATTTTTCAAATATTTACGGTTAATATATTGGGCTGTTTCAGAGAGACCTAAAACTGTGCCTCAATATTGACTTGTCTGGGAATGAATAGCACTTCAGATGTTTGAGTGTTCACTCAATCAGCATTTCCTTATGCTGTAGTCACTTACTGGTTCAGTCAGGTCTTAAGAGTAGCCTCTGCAAGAGTGAAGTGATCTTTTTGGTATTTAATCCCCCCCCCCTAATCATGTGATGTGTGTGTGTGTGTTATCTGTATTTTGATGTACTAATCAGATGCACTGCCCTCTCTTTATTGCTGGCTGCATTTCACAGAGCCTTGTATTACTGCTGGGTCCCACTGATTGTGCAACTGTGTCCTCTTCTGTGTGTTTATAGCTGCAGTGGCTGCTGGACAACTATGAGACAGCGGAGGGCGTGAGCCTGCCCCGGTGCTCCCTCTACAACCATTACCTAAGGCACTGTCAGGAACAGAAACTGGATCCGGTCAATGCGGCCTCCTTTGGCAAGCTCATCCGCTCGGTCTTCATGGGCCTGCGGACTCGTCGCCTCGGTACCAGGTACAAACAGGAAGAGGTTGCTGCTGAAGATGCTGATAACAGTAATCATGTAATCATTATAGATATGACTAGTGTGACGATGCTCATAGGCATTGGAGACTAGCTGATGGAAGAGGATAATGATGGTGATTATACTGATGGCAAGTCTTCTCCTCTTCACTGGTTTCTGGCTTTTCTCTCTTGAATCTACCAGAGGCAACTCTAAGTATCATTACTATGGCATCCGGGTGAAGCCAGACTCACCGCTGAATAGGCTGCAGGAAGACACCCAGTACATGGCTATGAGGCAACAGCCTGTCCATCAGAAACAGAGGTAAGCCCCTCCCCCGTCTGACGTTTTTTTATTTGTCACAATCTTCAGCAATTTTCCATAGATCCTGTGCTTGTTGTTGTTTTGTTCGCTGGAAACCATCATTTTAAGGTGCCTATATGAATAAATTAACAAATTTACCTTTCGATGTCATTTAACCAGTGATCGCTGCCTCAGTGTATAGCCAACACTCTGCTGATCGCTGTGCTTGATCTAAATCAAGTTTCTTCTTTTCTTTGCCTCTTCTTCTTGTCCTTTTCACCTCCTTTCACGGTTAGATTTGTCTTTCCTCATCAATTTTCCAAATCCAGAAGGTACCCGGTGCAAAGCGTGGATAGTGGTTGCACCTTTTAATGCAAATTCATAGAACTTCATAGGTTGCAAAGATTTTAATGTATTTTTAAAGAGTTACTCCCCTAAACTAAGTTGTTTAGCTTCTTTCCTTGCTGCAGTGAGGGAGAAGTATAGACCTTGTCCTAGAGATCAGAGTGAGGAGTGAAAAAGCGCACTTCAGCCATTTACAGTTACTCCTCGGTAGCTTCTGTAGTTTATGTATAGAGGTCAATACTGTGTTTCCTTTACACTATGAATGTATTGATCACCCATCTGAAAGGCAACAGCTTTTGCAACAATGGGTAGAAGCATATTGGTAAACCAGAATAATATTATAAACTATTTTTAAATGGTCATTTCCTTTTAAACACACCCCTGGTTAATCAGTAAGTCATTTTTGTAATTGTTGCAGGTGCTCTCACCTGGAAGTTGTGTGGTGTTTTTATTGGAATGAAAACTTGCATAGTCCCAACCCTCAATGACTGCATATACTAATGCTATATATTTCTACTTTTGCTGTACTTTCAAAACCCAGCCAACATAATTCCTGTCTTTCGCTGTGTGTATAGATTCAAACCTCTACAGAAGGTGGACGGTATGTCTGACAGCCTGTGCGGGAGCTCACAGAACTGTAACAACACTCCAGAGCAGTCCGTGGCGGCTCAGAGTCAACACCACCAGCAGTACATAGGTAAGGACAGGGGCTGGGTGGTTGTCATGACAACAATATGTGTTCAAATGACCAGCTAAACATTAACTGTCAAGCATCTTGATCAATTATATGTGTTTTTTTTGTGTTGACACAATATGGTCTATCCAAACAGCTTTTAATTTAGTGGCTTGAAAAGCTATCTCCCCCTTTTATAGAAATAAAACCAAGTAAATGAGGTTTTATTGTAGTGTGTAAAATTTGGTAAACATAAAAAACAAGAAATACCCCCCCCAAAAAAAATATCTGGTGCTACCAATCTCACATTATTAGTGGAACAAAATCCACTTGTGTGCAATATTGGATTTAATCCATTATTACAAAATGAAGAAATAGAGCATCAGAAATAACCCGCCAAAAGACAACCAATACTCGTGAGACAGGAAGTGGAGGGTATTAATCAGAGAGCCAACAAAGAGACCAAATATGGAAAGTTTGGAGTCGATAGGAGCCCTTCCATCCACAGAGTTGGGTTTAATGAAAAGGGGTCCAGAAGAAGTCTTTGCTTGAACAGAAAAAAATGTTCAAGCAAAGACTTCACACACACACATGCATGTGTGCAACTGAAATGAGTGACACCTGTCGACATTTTTCACACAGATACGTCCCACAACTTGCCTCCTTTCCCCTCTCCTGACTTGGGCACCCAGCCTCTGCCTGAGCGCATCAACATGAATGATATCAAGAAACTGCACACGCTCTACAGAGACCACTGTGAGGTACAGCTCTATGAATCTGTTTGTGACCGGTGCACATTAACATGTGAATCTCGTATGGACAGCAGGGGTAAAATCCAAGGATTCTTGGTCATCGTGAAGCTTTTGTGTTGAGTTTGACTCTATCAAATCAAATCTTTCATTACCAGGATAACTAACACTGAACTGCTCAATCACTACAGCAGTGTTTTCCATCTCTTGGAAACCATTTTAACAAATTGAAAAACAAAAAAACCAAAAACAAATACCAATGGGCATTATCTGTAAATGATAATGCACAGTCAACTAATTATTTTTAATAGGTAATGGAAGGAAGTGACTGTTTTCTCTGGTAGCGTTAGTGACCTGTTGTAAATCAAGTGAGAATTGGGGTCATTTTCTCCAGAGTGTACTACCGATAAAAATGCCATTGAGGGAATTCTACTCCTTGTCTACCACCAGAAAATTTCCTGAAAACCACTTGTTGGTCCCGACCCAGTCCATGTGAACGACTCCAGTAGAGCGCTTAATGTGTAGGAAGCCACTGCTGAAAATGGTCCACTAATTACTCCTGTTTGAGGGCCATTTGCTTAAAACAACAATGCCCAGAAGTTCTAAGGGCAGAGGCTCAATGAGAGAGAGTCAAGGGGTGTCCAGCTTCAACGGGCACATCTATGACAAACTGTTTGTGGATACATCATGAAGAGCCAGCTGTGAACAAACAGCGCATTATGACATTTCACAGGTTGCAGTCTCGTAGGACAATGAATGTGAGTAGGCAGAAGGATAACCCGCCAGGATTAAATGCACCGGCGTACAAATAACATTAAAATCTGGGGGGGGTTCAGACAGCAGAGTGGCTGTGATTAAAGAAGCGATGCTCTGCCTTTATCATATTATCCCTGCCCTTCCCTTGTCCAGCCTCACCACGCTCCCTTTGTTCCAGCCGTCTTTTCATCTCTGTGCAGCTTTCAAGACATGCCAATTAACCTTTCAGCGCGCTGGGTGGACATCTTGGTGTCTTTGTGGTGGCCTCCCCTTGGGCCTTTGTGTTGCCTTGTCTGTGGACAGGCACATGGGCTCCCGTCTTTGTTTGCCAGCACATTTCTGTCACTCTCACAGCTCGCATGCCTCTCTGTGTAATGTTTATGCATTTCACTTTTTTGTCGACCAACATTGACCTATTAACTCATTAGCCAAGTCATTTAGTTACAACACAAATATAGTTGGCTAAAGTATTAATAAATCATGTTTCTTATTTTACTTTCATGCAGTTTTTTGAGCAGGACTTTAAATTGACTTTTATCCATTGTTGGCCATGTATTCATTAACGTCATGGTAACAACAGTCAATTCTGAAGGTGTCAGCTGTAGCAATGAATTAATGGTTGAGCACAGACGATTAGGTGTTTAATAAAACTTTGCAGGGGGTAATAAATCTCACTGTAAGCCACATTAAATGTGCACAGATGCGAGGGGGTTAAGATTTGTGATTCCCTGCCACAGGCCGCTGGTTTGTGGGACTGTGCACATGAACATGTTATTTCTCCTCCCTTTTTTTCCCCCTGCAAGCCAAGTTGTTTTTCCTATGTGTCGCAAAACACTCCTGTTCAGTGCGGACGGGGAATTCTCCCTTTTTGTTTTGGAGTTCAGTGTTTGACCTGTTGCTTGGGGCAACCGTAAACAAGGTTTCCATGGAAACAGCTCGAGAGGAAGCAAAAACATATCATGTGATTGAAGCCTACACTGCTGTGTAACACGATCCAGGGGCAAGTGCATGTCCGGCCACAAAGAGAAAGCAGAGAATGTCTGTGCACAGTGTGAATCGTGAGCTCAATGCAGAGATAGAGTGAGCTGTCTGGGGATGGAAAGAAAATAGAGTTTGACCTCCGGCTCTCATCTTAGACTCTGGTTACTGCTTCCTCTCCGACCGACCGGGCCCTCAAACTGTAGTTTTATCATTTCGGATCACCAGCTTTCCGCTGTTTCCCTCGCACGCATTCAGTGTTCACTCAAGTGCAGTAGGCTTCGCTTTTGTGAACGGCTCATACATATGAACAGGAAAGAGGAAATCAAGTGGGTTAGTTCAGGTCAGCGCGCCGCTGCTAAAAGGAGACAAACGCATGCAAAGATCTATGATACTAATCTGCATTTTAAAGGAAGCCAAGATTGAAAAAAAAACTGCGCAAAATTGGTCCAAAAAACTGCCGATGAAGCCTCAACGTGGCTTCTCGGATCCTCCGGATGATTAATGTGCGGGAAGCTGTGTTTGAGCGAGCTCATTGTCTAACCAGGAGGGCCCGGAGTGAGCGAGAGGCTGCTTGCCTGCCTGTAGAAACTTTGTTGTGTGTCTGGTTGCCATGGTTCAGCTCTGTATGTTTTGTCCCCCCCCCCTCCCACCTCCCTTGCAGGCTACTTTGGATGTGGTAATGAACCTCCAGTTCCACTACATTGAGAAACTCTGGCAGACATTTTGGTATTCAACACCGCCATCTAGTGACGGAAATACAACCATCCAGAACAGGTCAGACGACACACACAGGAAGAGCTCAGACGTGTAAAAGAAAACTACTACTGTACTTGAAGCCAAGCTCTGATTTTCAAAAGCATTTTGAGTCAAAATAATAACCATTTGAGTTTTATTCCATAGGTTGCAGTAATTGTAATGATTGTATTTGTTGTGTTCTCCTCCCGTCCGTGTGTAGTGATGATGACCTGGATGGTGTGATCCCCAGAGAAAAGCTGGTGGCTCTGTGTAAATATGAACCAGTCCGACTATGGATGAGGAGCTGTGACCACATCCTCTACCAGGCCCTGGTGGAGATCCTCATCCCTGATGTGCTACGTCCTGTTCCCAGTCAGTACTATTGATCTTTGTATTCACCGGGATTTAAATAAGACACTATTACAAAGTAATAATAAGATCTCAATGTTCCACTATTAACTATTCAAACCATCAATAATTCACACACCAGCCATACAGGCAGGTTTTCCCTCATTTTTGTGTAATACAACAGTGACCAGACAACACATCAACCAAAACTAACTTTTATTCACATCATGTGTAGTTACCGCACACATGTAACTAACAAGGTGGCCTGACATTAAACAATATCTTATCTGTTTTTTTAAAACTTTGATTTAGATACGAGTCCCTATTTTGAGCAAGATTGTAAACCGATACTGCATGTATAGTTGTTTATTGTTGTAGTATAGTTGTTTATTGTTGTAGTATTGTAGTATTGTGTGTAACCCAGGCGGTTCTGTGTCTGCAGGCACGCTCACTCAGGCCATCCGTAACTTTGCCAAGAGTCTGGAGGGCTGGCTGACCAACGCCATGACCAACTTTCCCCATGAGATTATTCGCACCAAGGTAACAAGGAAATCTCCTTTTCAGCAGCTGTTCAACAGTTTGATATTAAAGAATGTGCAGTGCGCAGATCAGCTCCTCACATATCAAATCCTCACAGTTATCTATAACCGCGTCATGTGACTGATTTGTGATCCATGAGTGTCATAGATTACAATGCACACAGTGTATCACAGTAATGTGAACACCAGATTAGATCCATCCATTAAAGACTGCTGCAAGTCTCCCATCTACACCGTGTTCATGTAGGACTGGTTTCTATCATTTTCTTATAACACACACAGGGAGATTAAATGTCGGAGCTGATCGTGTTCCTCTCCGTCTCTCTGCTGTAGGTGGCGGTGGTCAGTGCATTTGCCCAGACGCTGAGACGTTACACCAGTCTCAACCACCTGGCCCAGGCAGCCCGCGCCGTCCTGCAGAACACCTCCCAGATCAACCAGATGCTCTCTGACCTCAACCGGGTGGACTTTGCTAACGTCCAGGTCCGCATGTCTCCCAGCTTCCCTGTTTAAACGATGTCGGATGGTGCAGACTGTGTTTCTTTACGCGACCCGCCTTGTGGTTTCTCGCTGAATGTGGTTGTGTGTGTTTTGTCTAACAGGAGCAGGCATCATGGGTGTGTCAGTGTGACGAGAGTGTGGTTCAGCGCCTGGAGCAGGACTTCAAGGTCACCCTGCAACAGCAGAGCTCTCTGGATCAGTGGGCTACCTGGCTTGACAATGTGGTCACTCAGGTCCTAAAGCCTCACCAGGGCAGCTCCAGCTTCCCCAAAGCTGCACGCCAGTTTTTGCTTAAATGGTCCTTCTACAGGTGCGAGGGGGAACCAGCGAGCCTCTTTGCACTTCCCTCACTACAAACGGTATTTTGTACATGTGTTTGTTTGTGATTCCTTCCTGCAGCTCCATGGTGATCAGAGACCTGACCCTGAGGAGTGCAGCCAGTTTTGGCTCTTTCCACCTGATTCGCCTGCTGTACGATGAATACATGTTCTATCTGGTGGAACACCGAGTGGCTCAGGCCACCGGAGAAACTCCCATTGCTGTCATGGGCGAGGTAGGACAGAAGATCTCTCTGTGTGAACTGTTCTAGTTTTAATTCATTGTAATCATGATAATAACTAATGCTCTTTCATATGTTAAACCCAGTTCAGTGACCTGACCTCTATGATGCCTTCACTGATGGAAAAAGGTAAGCCTGTTATACACGGTTAGTCTGGGGGTGCTAACAGAGTTCTAGCCAACGGCATCTGGGTTTTTCTGCCAGAAAATGTTAAAAGGATCCACCTAGTGATATTTAATCTGTTGGTCATACAGCTATAACAATTAATCCTAAATGTCAGATTAATTATTTTTACAAAGCCAGACTAGAGGACAATAACATTTGTCTAGCTATATTGACCTCTATAGGAAATGCACCTTCAAAAGTATCCATAATGTCCAAAAACTGTTGCCCACTAAAATGAAAAAATCACTAAACTGAGCAAGTCTGATCTAGTACGGCAAAGATTCATCATTTTTAAATGTTTACACTAGAATCATGACCTCTCGGCCAGCGGGCCACATCTGTGTTTGTCAAAAATAACATTACTTCAGCATTTTATCATATTTGACATTTGTGTAAAACACACAACTCAATAATTCAGATAATATAATAAATTATGTCACTATGACAGTGACCTTGACATTTGATCACCAAATTCACCAAAAACAATTGGATGTTCACTCAAGACGATCCTGTTGTATCACCTTCGTGGGAATGGGATGCACAGTATGTACGAAGGGATGAACAGCGCCACAAACACATTGTCTGAGTTGACATTTATTGGATCTTCCAATATTTGGGGAATGGATTTTTATTAAAACTTAAAGCAACGATGTTTTAAAGAATGATTTTTGTTTTAGGCTCACAGTGGACATGAAGATGAACTATTTGAACCTTTTCCCGCGGTTTTTGTGCCACTAGATGCGTCCTTCTCTGATGAGATGAGTGACCTCGGCAGTGATACTGATGTGTCCCGGGGGCCGACTGAACCAGCTGTAAAAAGAGAGCGGATCGAAATGAGCCACCCTCTGCAGGAGATGTGAGTTACGTCTGTGCTAAGACGGACTGAAAGCTGCAAGGAACAGCATCTCCCCCTAAACCGGGCGAGTGGCTTTTTGGGGCTGAGCTCACAGTGTGTCCTCCTCCAGTCAGTGTGTGCAATGTACATAGAAGAAAGTAGCAATGTCAGTCCCTCCCTCACTAGCAAATTATATGGACGGGGATCTTTCTCCTGGAAGCTCTCTTACTATTATTATTTTCTATTCACAGGGGTGTAACACAGGTCTAAAACGTTTTTGTTTTTGTTGCAACTGTGAATGATTATGTGCAGTACCTTTTTATTGGACGTGTAACTTTGAGTGGTGGTGTGTGGTGTTTGTGATTCTTCTTTTTATTTTTATTTGAACTAGCTGTGCCATAGTGTCATTGGAGTGCCTTAGATCGCTAACCTTGAAACCACCACTACCGATGTCTATCTGTCCCTCAGCTGTGCCTCTACCGCAGTATGAATGTATCCTCTCCAAACCTCAGACATTCAAAGCACCTTTAACATTGGGAAGCGTGTAGGCGTGTGTACTCCCTGCTGCAGCTCGTAGCGAAACACAAACGCACAACAAAAAATCCAACAACACCATGCAACCTACTGACCCAAAGGACCTTTCCCTCAGTCGTCCCCCACCAGCTCAGCCACAGGCATGGCTCTGTAGGGCCTCGGCGTCTGGCAGCAGCCAGGGAGGCAGGGAGGTCAGTCTGCTACCTGGGCTGCGTAAGACGTCGGTCCGTTTACCTCAAGAGATTTATATTCCGTTTGGCTAAAATGACATTAGGGAAGTATTAAATATGTAGCCACCGTTGCAGTTGTGTGTCTCCCAGTGTAAATAGTTCTCTAATAATGGTTTCAATCCCATGATGCCCCCTAACGCGAGGATGCATTCGGTAAGTTCAAATAAAGTGACTCGTGTGTGCAGAACTGTGGCGGTTTACTCAACAACCACGGAGTGGGGGAATAAATCCAGGTCATTCGGTTTAATGGAGATGGTATGTTAAAATTTAAACTGGAATCTGGCGTCTCGTGTTTAGCCTTATTTCCCGATGAAATAAAGTGTCTGTTTATTTAATCTAAGGAAGATAAACAAATACACGTCAGAGCGATGGACCTGTAAAACCAAAACTCTCACACGGAAAAAGGAGCTTGTTGGCATCTGAGGTGGCATACGCTCCCCAGATATTTTGACCTCATGCTGTTACTCAGATTAAAGTCTTATGTTCTGTTTAAAATATATAGAAGAATACAGTGTGTTGTTTGGAGAGTTTGTCCATAATACATTTTAAATATATATATATATATATCTTTGTATGATGTAGAAAGTGTGTGTTCGGTGGCCTTTTCTCTCCTCACACTGTACTTGGTCGGCCACATTGTATCAGAAGAATATCCTTTGATGTGTAATTGATTAGACTGGTTTGTGTTATAAATTTGTTTCCGATTTGTTCAACCTGTGATCTTCAATTATTACTGTGGCGTCACTGTGCCAGAGTACGCTGTTAGACTGACAAAATACATTTTTATTTATATGAAAGATTCGGATTATTCCCCGATTTTGTTGTATAGCATTGAGAATCCTTGAGCTTGAGTTATTTAAGGCTTTTTGTAACTTGTGCCTGTCACAGTAATCTGCCTTCAAGTGCTTTGGAGCATATAAAGTAATTTCTGTACGTACTTTGTAATGTTTTGTAAGGCTGTTTTAGATTTTTGGCGGATTATTTTTTATTGAACTAGATTTGGTTCTTCTTACAAGTATACTGAACCCTTATTTTTGTGCATTTTCAAACCTGTTCTTGACTACACTTTAACTATCCCAAGGAAAGATGGTCTGTAATAAACTGCATAGTTCAACTGTATTTTGTACTTGGTCACAATGTGTAATAAATTGGTGTAAACCAAAATGTCTAAAGAACATTTATTTTTATTAAACATCAACATCACAAAACCAACATCAGATTTACAAAGTTTTTTTTTCAAAGTATTAACATAATTTAAAATCCTAGTTTAAATGGTAACTCGGTTCCAGATAACTTTCTTCACATGTTTTCCTTTCGTCTAATTCAAGAAAGTTTCCAACATTAGCTCAGTTTACAGTCAACAGGAGGTTCAATAGAAGAGTTTTCCTGCTGCTTAGGGGAGGACAAGTAAGCGTACAACAGAAACACATTAAATTAGAGGAGAAGAAGAAGAAAAGGCTTCATCCTAAAGCAGCAGGACATTGTCAGAAGTAAGTGCACATTGTCGTTGCAGGGTTCAGTTTTTATTTTCCATCTCTCCTCCATCTGGCACTGGACTTGGAAAAAGTGCAAAGTTCGTTGAACCTGCAGCGATGTTCCTCTACACAATTCACAAGGAGCAGCTGGCCATGTACTTCCCTATAAACAGAATACATTTAACAAAAAGAAGTACACATACAGTATGGCTAATATATAATAAGACTGCTTCTTGCCTTTAACATATTAGTTATTGTGGCTATTTAATTATATTGTTCATGAAACTAACCATATCTTTACTTTTTATTAGGTTTTCATGGCGTGCCAGCCTAGGACCTTTTGACTGATACACTACTACTTTTTAGTACATTTAAAATTCACAGTAAAGTGTTTCATAAAAATTCAATATGGCACGTAATTAAATGACTAGAATATGTCTTAAAAAGTTCATATAAATGCGATAATATAGTATATTAAGTCTTTGTATATCATGTCATAACAAATATAACAAGAAATTCTTGTATATTATAATTGTATTGTAAAAGAAATCCCCAAGAAGGCATAAATAATGTATACAAAAAGGTACCATATAGTAATGCGTAGGTCCCTGAACAAATACACATAAGTAGCAACTTCAGTCGCTGGTGAACAACAACTGTTTGTACTTTCTGCTTCATTTAAGACCACTCGATCCTCAAATAACTTGAATCTACTCGTACTTACCATGAAATCAGCCTCTGTGAGTCCAACTTATACTATCATTTACTATACATTGAATTATCTAATCTAATTTTAATAGATATCAGGAGGTGCATTTCTATACACAAATAAACATGCAGTGTGTGTGCAAATAAACCAAAGTGCTTCTCTTTGTGTACCTGTGGCAAATCTCTTCTTGACCAGCGACATGCGGTAGCGGCTGCCCACCAGCTGCACGTCCATCCCCGACAGCGAGGCCCCGGAGCCCAAAAACTGCACAGCCAGGCTGGGTGGAGGACCGCGGGGGACCTCAAGGCACTGCCAGCTGGCACACAGAGTCCCCGAGCCTGGGACGCAGATACAAGAGACACATGGAGGAAGAATGGTCTTGATTATCATTAAAAAAAAAAATCAACTTTTTTGTGCACTTCACGATAACGAAGGTTGTTCAACGAGAAAAGACTGTTAAACTTCAGTGTGATCTTCTATGGTGAAAAAGGAAAGGACAAAGTTTAGAGGTGAAAACAGGATTTACATTAACGAAGAGGGTGTTTTCTTTCAACTATGAACATTCTAACATCCGATTTATCACTGACAACTATGAATAAGCCTCACGCCATGTAGCGCTATCTCTATTAGATGAGATAAACGTTCACATGCTGATGCTGCAATCAAAAGGGGATGACACGCCTTCAGACTTCGGTTTAGGAAGCAAAGATCTAAATTTCTATGTCTTGCCAAAATGCGGAGACGTGAACCCGGCAAGAAGGAAATTAAGTAGAAAATAATTGTGGCACGAATTTGAATGACGCAAATATAACAGAAGGATAACGAGGTGATAATCCGTGCATCTGGGTGTGTAGGTTTCTCTCTCTTTAAAAGCAAAGAGGTACAATGAGAGATGCAGCGCTCGGACCTTTGCTGTGGTTGGTCGGGGAGATGTTTGGGAGTTTCCACAGCAGCCGTCTTTCCTCAGCGTTCCTGCACAGAAAAAAACATGTTCAGTGAGATAAACAATAACATAGCTACCAATAGCAAAACACGACTAATAGAAGAAGTATTGGTCAGCTGGTTTGCCTCTTTGTTCCAGACTGCAATATCTCACCGACTACTGGACGGGTTAATGTGACATCTTAGTCCAGTCTTTTCCTCCTGGGCCATCATTAGGTGGACATTTGTGCAGGTCAGTCAAATACCGTGACGACTTTTAGATGTATGGCCATACGAGATGAGTGTATAAAATAATCGTTTTGATTATAATATAATAACATAACAACACTGGTTACGGGCGACCGACAGCCCACACGACCGCTGCTCGTTACCCACCCACGATGACATCATCACTAACCAGGAGGCAGGAGGCTGGCACTGCAGATCGGTGGCAGTGTGGTCTAATGGCAGCAGCACCTGAACAGCGGCGAGCTGCGTGGAGGGCGCGGTGGCGGGGCAGCAGTGGTAATCCAGTGACACCCGCGTCACCGTGCCGCTACGCTGACACTCTGCAGACAGGAGCAAGGGAGCCCGACCCGGGTCCTGAGACGACACCTGAGCAGACGGAACAGAACTTTTGTTTCAATGGGTTGATGGTAATAAAAAAAACAAAAAAACATTTGCAAGCGGGTTTGGAGACATCGTAAGTTTATATAACCTTTGGTCAACTGATGGAATAGATGAATCTAGTAACACTTTTTTACGAGCCACTAATTTCTCAATAATTTATTGACAGTTGTCAACAGAACACTTTGTATTTTAAGTTCACAGTGGTAAAAACAGAGTATTCAGATGATACACTTCCAGTATCCGTAAAGACATCACGTCAGAACACTGACGAAATGTGATATTTGTCAACAAGGAATGATACAATTACAACAGATAATAAAGTATAAAAAAATAAATGGAAAGTGAACAAAAATGTACTTAAAGAAAGCTTTTCTTTCAAGGAAAATTCTACATTCCCAGTAAGCGTTGGGAAAAATGTGTGAATTACAGACTGTTTATTTAAGTAACAGCATCCAGAATAGCAATTGTGCTCAAAATAGCCCGAATATGCAGGAAAGATCGTATTGGCGCATACGGATTTCAAATCCTGACCTGATACTTGAGCAGCGCGATGTTGTAGTACGAGGCCTGAGGGTTGAGTTCAGCCTCTCTCTGCAGGTAGAGCTGCAGCGCCTGCATGTTGAACCAGAAGTCTCTGGTGTCTGGGTCACTCTGAGACGGATCACTGCGGAGACGGCAGGACGGTGAGGGTTGCGTTACAGTTTCAAACAAAGTTGTGAATAAACATGCCGACGGCAGCTGACCTGTACAGCAGCTTTTGATTTGGCAGGAAGTGATCGACCCTTGAGGTGTTGACCAGTCTGAAACTGAGCACGGGAACGTTTGGGTTGGCTGTGAATATCCGGGTGATTCCAGCGGGGAAGGACATCGTCAGGTCTCCTGTGATCTTCACCAAACACCTGGAGAGAGAGAAAAGCAGACATAAGTTCATACGAATCCTGTTTACAAGCAGCCCAAAACAAAAAACTACAAATCATAACCACACCAGTCAATGTAGCAGAATAAAACATTTTCACAGGAGCAGTAAAACCCCCGTAGTTACCTGGTAAGTTCATCTTCAAGAGCAGAAAATGTGCGAAACATGTTTGTCTTTTAAGAAAGGGATTTAATGCTGACCGGTTGTGTTGTCCACCTTTGAAGTAGGCATTGATATATTCGGTTATGGCTGCAGCCACAGGCCACGCCTCCTGCGTACTGAGCGAAATGGGACTGGGACCTCGGGACAGGTGCACTGCAAATGGGAGAATTCTACGGTTAGGATAGTGAGTTTTACATGAGTGACATGAAAGTCAGATGAGAAGATCGACACCACGCTCATGTCTTGTGTGTTAAACAGTGTCAAACGTTCCATCTGAATACGTCCTACTTGCAGCAGAAGGCCCACTTCACCACAAATCCTTCCACGCGTTTCAAACAAACTGCGTTTGTGTGCTGAGGCTTACGCGGTCTTTGTTGGTGGTCCTGGTGCTGGTACGGCAGAGGTGAGGCTTGTCCAGCTCTGGCGGGACTGGGCGCTCGGTTTTGACCACCCCAGTCGTTGTCCCTGACCTGAGGACCCCACTCGCTGGGGCTGGAGGAGGAGGAGGAGGAGGTGAGGGAGGGGCTGGGCTCCGGCAGCGGAGAGGAGCACAAAGACCGCGACTGAAACACAAGAATTAACAATATTGGCTCTATTTTCATACAAAAGACCTATTGGATCAGTGGGGAATATTATCATTTATACAGTTTGGATACATTTGGTCAGATACTATTAAGAATCCTGACAGTATAGAAATGATTAGAAGCATCAGATAAGACTGTTGTTTTACTTTTTCCATTCAGTTCTTCCTACTGCTTACAATTGTCAGGTAATCCCTATAATTTAAATAACATTAAAAAATCAAGAGTATCAGGGCGAACAATGTTAACAAAATATGAATAATTAAATTCGCTGAGAAATGAACTTACTCTCTCGCAGCCGCTCAGTCGGCTCAACGTCCTCTTGCCTCGTGTTGCTCTCTGAGGAGCGGCTGCTACAACTTCCGTTGTGTCGTGTCTGAAGTTGTGCTTGGATCCTTACAAACACACATCAAAACAATGGAAAATCACACAATGCAGATTATGAAAAACGGAAACACTCCAAGTCAGTTTCAGAACAGCCGGGGAAATGCTGCTCCGATCTCGCTGCCAAAGACAAGCTGGCACAAAACATAATGCTTGAGGGATTTAGAGCCCTGTTGGTGTCGGATTGAGATTTTCTTCTTTAGTGAGAAAGAAACCCCAAGAGTTTCTGCCTCCCTGGTACTCACTGCAAGAACGACGCTTTGTTCATCTGTAAGAATTCTTTAGGATATGATGAAGCTTTTTAAAGTTAAGGTGGGCCTTTTATTTTAGAAAGAAATATGGTTATATTTGTTGAAATTCAGATTACATCCTGAAAGCAATCAATA